AGCCTAGCAGCAGACCAGTTACATCTTCAAGTAGTTTAGGTTCAGGTGAGTGTCCCAGCCACAGGAACCTTCACTTTATCCACAGGGACTAATTAAAAATAGTGCTTCACAACTCTGTGTGGTCACAGGTGTTATCACCTGTAACTTCACAGCTCTGTTTCCATTTGTGATGAAAGTAATAAATGCAGTCAGCCCCTGAGGCTAGTTTGGCCTGACCCATCCAAAGACCATTCCCCATAGTTTAGAAAGGGGTGACAGCCAACCTAGCTTGGGAAATGGTGGGTTCAACAGCATATTTTTTCACTGCAGAGCCTCTTAGAGACACCTACGCTCCCAGGCAGTGTGTGTATTAAGTCTTCAGGCAGGAAATGAGCTATACTATGCTTCCCAAAGTCACCTGCCCAGGGACCCCTTTATGAAATACAGGGTCTTTCGGGACTCCATGCCACACAACACACTTGGAGAAAGAGTGTCTAGATTCATTCATTCTGTGAACTTTGAGTGTGAGTTATACATTGCCTATATCAAAATGAGCATTGCATAACCTCTGATGTCAGAAGGTAAATTAATAAAATCTGGTAAACTAATAAAATTTTAATAATAAAATAAAAAATTAATAAAACCTCCAAAAAGAGGACAAGAAAAAAAAAATCAAGACTTCCTGAGGGCCTAGCATACATGAGGACAAGGAGAGCCATTGTGTTAGTCTTCAAGGATTGCCATAGCCAAGTAGCACAGATGGTGCAGACGACAGAAACGTTCTTACAGTCTGGAGGCTGCAAGTCCCAGACTAAGGCGTCCACAGGGCTGGTTTCTCCTGAGCCTCTCTCCTTGGCTTGTAGATGCCATCTTCTTCCTATGGCCCCACATGGTCTCTCTCTGTGTGTGTCCTAATATCCTCCTTTTATAAGGACACCCATCAAATATTGAAGTAGGACCCACCCTAATGGCCTTATTTTAAATTAAATCACTCTTTAAAGAACTTATCACCAAGTACAGTCATATTCTGAGGCCCTGGGAGTTATAACTTCAACATATGAATTTGTAGGGTTGGGCAGGGGGGCCACAATTTAGCCTGTAACAGCTGTTTTGCACATTTTATCTCATGTAATTCTCAAAATAATCCCCAAAATCACTATTATCATTGCCATCTTGTGAAGGTGATGACTACATTGTTAAGAGGGGAAGAAGGAATGTAAACCTGGTTCCACACCCCTCCAAAGTCCAATTTCTCAGCTTCCCAAGCTGCTCCTGGTCCAGGAAGATGTACTTCCACATCAAAGGAAGAATTTGTGGAAATTATGCAGAATATGAGAAAATAAAACACTAAAGGTTTAACACTTTTGCAACATTTAAAAAATAAACCTGCTCATCATTCCTAATTGGAATGAATATCTGATTATAGGTTAGCACAGCTAATGAAAAAAGAACGTTTCCATGGTTATTGCAAACAGAGGACCAAGATGCTGAGTCTTTGGGTGCCTGGTGTCACATAAATGAAACAGCCGCCTCTGAGGCCGTTCCTGTGACAGCAAGCAAAGCCCCCGTGCTGGAGGCTCTGGCTTCTCAGTCACATTCTCCCGTGCAGCAGCAGGATTATGTGCACTTACTTCCATCTTTCTGCACCGTCATTAACACTCCATCCACACTCTTTGAAGAGGCCTTCTTGGGGCACAATCTTTGCAGCCCCAGCCTCCCTCGCTTAGAGACACATAAACACACAGGGAAGCTGCAGGGAGGGCGCCTGGGGCAGAGCGATCGCAGAAAGGCCTACATGACACCTGCTCTGCTGCAGCCGGCTTGTGTCACGTGGACCAAGCCACTTCACTCTCCGAGCCTCAGATCCCCATCTGTGAAGTGGGGTGATTTTTCTGTCATGCCTGGCTTACAAGATGGGAAACAATGCTGTGTTTTTCAACATTTATTAGCATCATCACTTATATTAAATTATAAGAGGCCATAAAGCTTGGCCTTTGATAAAAGCCAGGAGGATGTTGTGGCCTCAGTGGGGCCCTGGGGGAGGAGTGAGAGCCGCTTCTCCCTGGGGCAGGGCTGCTGGGGACGGTCAGGTCCTGTCCATGCTGGCTGCAGAGGCCTCAACCCATCCGGGTGGATGCTCAGCCCTAGGCGGCCATGTGGCCCCAGCCCACCATTCCTAGTCCATGCAGGGACTCACAGCTCCAGCCACAGAGCCTCCTCACAGAGGCAGCCTCCGGAGCACCTTTTCCACTTCTCTGTAAACAAATAAGTTGCCAGTAGTTGAGATATCCAGTGGTGGGGGTGGGAGGGAGGCAAATTAGCCTTAAAAAAAATAAACAGTTTGGGAGCCAAGGACTCAGCCATGAGAAGAAACCACAGAATTTAGGTGTTAAGAGTAAGGACGGCAAGGTCAGACAAAACTGTAGTTAATAGCCCAGCTCAGAAACATCCAAGCTGTGTTATCATAGAAGCACAATTAACCTCTCTGTGCTCTGGTGTCCTTATTTGTAAAATGGGAATCAAGGCCAGAGGCGCAAGGCCCACAGTGGGGGATGCAAAATTGCAGGGGGGGCAGTCACTCTCAGGATCACGGCATCTGAGCATCAGCCCCTGAGGGCAAACACTTCTTACATTTTGCACTCCAGGTGCCACTGTCACCTCACCCTGGTCCTAACCATGAAAGAATGTGTCCTGGGCACGGGGACATACCGCAATGCCTAGCAGAGCGCCTGGCACAGGACGGGCCCTCAGTAAGCCTCAGGATTATGTTAGCTAACTCACCACCAGCAAGCTCACAAAAATCGATCCTAACACCCTGCACATCCCCCTCAGTTCACTCTTTCTCCAGATTTACCTGAAGAACATTTCAGGCAGCACAGAAGTAGAACTTAACCAGAATGGGGCTCTTTCCTGTCCACGTCCTGAGGTTACTCTCCGCAGCGGTTATTGCAAAGTCGCATTCCCGGGACCTTCCTCTAGATGGCATACGATCTGCCCCCTAGATCACACTGCCTCTGCTACGGGAGGCATCACACCGTACCAGTCAGCGTCTGGGTTATTTTTTCGCCTGCAGTATTGACAACATGGGCTGTCTTATTCATCTTTTTAACACACTGGCTGGCATATAGTAGGCAATAAATGCCTAAAATACAGAATGCCAAATTGGGCAGATACATCTAAAGTTTCCAAATTAATAAATGTTTAACAAAAAGGCTAAAGTTTCCAAATCATAAATCATTATGATAGCAGTAGTAAATTCATCAAAATAATTAGCTCTGTACTGTAACATTGATCCAAAGGTTTCAGGAGACAATTAAAAGACATTTCTCCATAACGTTTTGGAACAGACTTACACTTGGCTTCACTCAGAGCTTTGCAGCTTGCAGCTGATAATGGTTTATAACCTCATCAGTCCTATTCCAGCAGCACGTGGTTTGGGTTTTGTTTTGAGGAGGATCCTTGATTCTAGGAATCTGAGCACACAGGACCTTCTGGGTCCCCGGGCCCCCTCCCTTGACCACGTGAAACCCGCCACGCCTTTGCACAGGCCGCCAGGTCTCCATCCCCTTGAATCAGCACATCTCTGAAGAGTGCGATGCCCCAGGTACAAACTCTAGGCTGAAATACGTAACTGTCCTTCAAAAGTCGCAGAGACGCGGCTCCATCCGTAGGTCGCTGGCACTAGTCCCTGGCCTCAGGGCGCAGCTGGGGTGCTGCACGTGCGCGGACCTCGCGTCCCCAGGGGCGCGGAGAGCCTGCTTGGTCGCCAGATGGCGCTGCGTCCCAGCCATCGCGCTCCCGGGCCGCGGGGTCCCCTGATCCCCGGCGGGCCTGACCCTGAGGCGCTGGGGCGAAACCCAGGGACACTGGCGCCTCCGGCCGCTGCTGCTCCAGCAGATGGTGGAGGACGGCCTGGTGGGAGTGGCCTGGTCAGTTGCTTTTCGAGCGAAACCAAAAAGCTGGGTTTTTGTTTAAAACGCCCACAACAAGTGTCCTTTCCATTTTCTGATAGAGACCCTTTCCCCAGAGGCGGGAGGGGACGGCGGGGACGCAGCCGACCGGGCTGCCGCGGGGCCGGAAGCACGTCCCGGCCGTCGTCCAGGGCCCAGGAATCACTGGATCGGAAAAGCGGGGGCTGGAGGCTGGGTCTCCGTGGCCCCTTAGGACTCACAGGCCCAGATGGTCTCCGCGTGGCACCCCTGCCTCGCCGCCTCCACTCCTGCCGTGGACGCCCGTTCCCACCAGGGGGCGCTGTCCCGAGTCCTTCCTGTTGGAAACTTTTTCAAACATTTTCTCATGGAAAAGTTCAAGCCTACGCAGAGGCAGTAAGAGTAACATAATGAGCCTCAAGTACCTGGCACCCAGCATCAACTGATGCTCCTTCCAGCAGCTCCTCTCTCCTCCTGGGTTATCTAGAAGCAAACCCAGCTATCCTCTCTCTTCCTCCTAAATATTCCAGAGTGTATCTCTAACAAACAAGAATCTTTTCACAGAGTAATAATCATCCTTAATGCCATCAAATATTCAGTCAGTGTGCCAGTTCCTCCCACGCTTCTCCAACGACCCCAGAGGGGTATTGTTAACAGTTGGTTTTTCTCCAAATCAAGTCGAAAATAAGGCCATAAATTGCATTTGTTTGACTTAAAAATGCTTTTTTAATTAAGGTAAGAGTTTTCACATACCAAAGTATACACATCTTAAGGGTATATAGTTCTAAGAGTTTGGACAAATAGAAACACCTGTTCGTTCAACATACCACTCAAAATACAAAAGGTTCTCATCACCCGGATCGTTGGCTCCTGCCGTTTGCGATCAGCCCCACACCCCTGCCCACAGGAAACCCCTGCCGTCACTTCTGTTATCACAGTTTTGCCTGGACTAGAAATTCATGTAAATGGACAGACAATATGTACTCGTCTGTGTCTCTAACTTCCTTTGCGTCATGTAAAAATGTTTTTGAGATTCAGTCACAATGCCACATATGCCAGTACTTCTTTTCTTTTTTTATTCCTTTGAAGTGTTTCTCTATATGACTATAATACAGCTTATACTGTAATATATCCTTTTAGGAAATACCCATTGATGGATATTTGGATTGTTCCCAGGTTTCGGATATAATGTATAAAGCTGCTTAGATGAGCATTTGTGGCAATATGCTTTCATTTGGCTAGTGCCTGGCAACGGAACTGCTGGATCATGAGGAGACGTGTATTAATTCTATAAGAATCTGCTTCAGAGTTTTCAGCGCGGTCACGCCACTGATCCCGCCCACAGTGTCTGAGACGCACCAGCCCTACATCTGCTGTTCTCTGTCCTTTCAGCGGCAGCCGTTTTGGTATGTGCCTAATGGTATCTCATTGTGGTTTTAACTTGCAATCCCTTGTGGGAAATGTGCTCTGTTTCTCTCTGTTTTTATTTACCTGAAAATGTCTTTTATTTACCTTTATTTTAGTAGGATATTTTTCTTGGATATAGAAATCTAAATGGACAGATTTTTTTTCTTCCTGCAGCTGTTTCCTGCCGGGCCTTGCAGAGTCTTGCCCTGGCTTGGGAAATGCAGCCTGTGGCTAAGGACGCCCCTGGGCCCTCGCCGGAGATCTCTGCCTGCCCTCCCTTCCCCGTGCAGCGGCTCCTCTGACAACACCATCTTTCTCAGCCGCTCCAAGCTCCAATCTCTGCTCCTGGGCACAGTGAGATCATGACTCCCCTCAGTGCACCCCCCCACCCGCAGAAACTGGAGTTTCGGGGGCAGGGGGCACGCAGCTCACACTGCTTCCTGCTTGTGGGGATGGCAGCCTCTCCTGGCTGTGGCTCGCTTCCTGCAAAGAACCGTCTTACATGATTTGCTCTGTTTACAATTGTTTTCATGGGAGGGTGAGTCTGAAACCAGGTCAGCCCATCATGGCTGAAGTCCGGGACCTTCTTCTGATCTGCTCCTTGAAGTATGCAGGTTCCTCTGCCCTCTGCTTCCTGTCAGTGTATGTTCTTCACCCTGCAGGGTTGCCACACCTGGGCTTTGCTCTCTGCGTCCCACTGGCGCTCTCTGTCCTTCGTGACTCCGCCTCACTGCTAGTTCCCCCTAGAGCCCGAATCCCATTCTGATTGACTTTTTCCAGACCACTCAGTCTTTATTTTTTTGTGATACGTGTAGCCTTTGATGATCATTGCCTGGATTTATTTTTCATTAAAGATCTGCCTACTCGTGATATCCTAGTTTCCTTTCTCCATTCATTTACTGAATGCATCTATAAAGAGAAACTTTCCATAATCATCCGTGCGGTTGTGCTGACGCACAGCCCATGCAGGAGAGACAGCGGAAGGCTTCATTGCCTTCCCCTCTTTCTTTTCCAAAGTGGGCTGTTTCCCGCGCATCATCTGAAGGTATCCGCTGAGTTCGTTCTCTTTCATTTTTTTAAGGAATCGTTATGAACTTGAGGAATTTTAAAATATTTTATGTGTTTCAACTCACTGTAGTTATTTTTTGACTGAAGACCAGAGCTTCCCTGCTTTGGACAGAGGAGCCTCGCTGCAGTGATCCTGTAGATTAGACGTGGTCTCAGTAATCTTTGGGAAAGCACCCTGGCTTTTTGGTGTGACAAAATCTTCTAGGGGTATCCTCTTCCGTTCTGCCCCTGACGCGGAATCTACCATATCTGCGGGGTAGCTGGGTTCCTTTTTGTGGATTGAGAGACTGCAATCCAGGAGGTAAGGACACTCATAACTGTTAGGTAATTTCAAGGTCCTTCCAGTGACTGTATCAGGAAATACGTCTTTCCTTTTACATTTTAAAAGGAATAATACACCATGAGTTCATACTGATGTTTCCAGTTCAAAATTTACGTAATGTAACAGAGTCAGACTCTAGTTTTTGATGTTGGACTGCTGATAGCTTGTAAGCCACACCCCTTGCTCCCCTTCTGCCCCACATTTGGGGGAGCTGATAAGAAAGTAAGTGCTCCCTCCAAATCAGCGACTAATCTTTCATCCCACCTCCTAGCACAATAAAACTCAAGCTATGTTCCTTCCCCCGCTCTCTGAAACCATCTCAGACGTGTGTGAGATGACTGCCCTGTTCCCCCAGAGGACTTGGCTATGTGTGCCTTGAACATTTCCATACCTTCTGAGGGGTGGGGGTGAGATTGGTCTCTACATACAAACCAGATTTGGGGTGAGGGTCCCTTCTGCTTTCACAGAGTAGCCACAGAACACTTCACTCTTTGATTTCATATCTTTATCTCTCTCATCTTAGACTGAAAATCTTTCTTCCTAGTGATGTTAATATAAGTAATTATGTGCTTTATCCTATTATAACATATAAAAGTCCACAATAATGGCATCAGTGTTACTACCAATGAAATTACTGACAATTGCTTGATATTATTTTCTTTCCTTAGGGAATAACTACCACGGGATGTCCCATTAAATTATTGTACTTTAAATGACTGTGAATTATTGTTCTCAGGCTACTGCCTGATATACAGTTAGTGCTGTTTTAATTTCTACATTTGGGGTTTTCTGTATCTTTAATTGGTTTTATGTTTGTGTAAATATTAATATTAATTCAAAAGTGAAATCCACCCAAGAAGGTAGGTTCAGAGAAACCTAGCTCTCCTCCCTGTCCTCTCTCCTCCAGTGTTACATTATATGTGGCTTATTTTTCCAGTTTCTTTTTAGTAAGAGCAAATATACATACATATATATTCATAAGCCTGTTTCTTACGTACACACAGTGTGCACTATATAACTTCATCCATTTATCTTTTGCACTTGATATTTGCTATGCCAGTGTTCCCACATGAAGTGAAGCCACTTCTCAACAGGGGTCAAGGCTCACCCAGTGTCCTTTCTAACCTTGTCTTACTTTTATTTTCTCATTTTACACTCATGTGACCCTACTTGGGAGTTTTAGTGTGGGCTTTTGGGTCATCTTTGAGGATGGCTTTTTTTTTTTTTAATCCATCTGTCTCTTGGCCCCACCGTGTAGGTCAGCCACACACAGAATCTTCTCAGAGAGCTGGAGAGTGGTTTTCTTTACATGCATTTATCTAAGAAATCCAACAAGTGGATTTAACAATTTTTTGCTTTATGGCTGACATGGAATCTATTAACTCTGCAGAACAAGGATTTACCTATTTGTTAAATAAATTGACAAGGAAACCACTAAGACATTAACAGATAATTAGGCAGATGGTACAAAAGGACTATTATCAAAAAGATGAAAAGTTTAAATATGTAAAGAAAAGTGTTCAATCTTACTAGTAGTTTTAAAATTTAAATTGAAGCAATATTCCATCTTTGGCTTATCAAATTAACAGAGAATTTAAAATGTAAATGTGAATGTGAAGAGCTGGTAGTAAAACAGGCATTTTCAAGCATTGAAGTAGGTAGAGAAACTGTTACAATCATTTTGAAAAGCAAGCAATGTGATGATATGGAGCAAATGTTTCCTTCAGCAATTAGATTTTAGGAGATATCAACTAAGAACATAATCTATTATATCAAAACATGGTTTTTGCTCAGAATGTTCATCACAACATTATTTGTAATAACAAAATGTTAAGAAAAAAACTGTGTTCAAACACAGGGAAATAGGGTTATCAAAATACTATTCACCAAAAGTGAATGAGAAAACGCTTATGTTGTAATGTTAAATGAAAGCATAAGAAATAAAATGGTGTGTGAATACACAAATATGTAATGTTAATTGTGCAAAGTAAACATTACATAGACAAAAACATGTTTTTTTGGTGCATCTTGGGGTGATTTTTCTTCTTTCTACATTTGTATATTTTCCAAATATTCAATGACAACATATAGTTTTAGCTTCTTAAATTAAAAAAATGTTTTGCAAATTTTCTTTAATGTTTTTCAGTGCCATGTTCTGCTTCAGTTTCTTCCACTAAACTGTGAGATAGTGATCGGTGTCCTGGCTCCCATTTCCCCAGATTGTTCAACTCATGCTGGCTGAGCAGGGGTCTTCATCGGTCGGAGCATGTCCCCAATGATTCGTCTCCCAGTGGGTTCTTAAACTGCTTGTTCTAGGAGTTGGGCATCCGGTCTGTAAAGCTCACCTCCTCTCTGTCTCCAGTGAAAAGTTCCCAGGAAAGGGAGGGGCAGCGTCCACAGGCTTGAGGCCGGAGGATCTGAGCACCCTGGAGGAAGGAAGTGCTTAGGTGGCTGGAGCACAGAAGTGGATTAGGGTCAAGGAGGCCCAAGGCCCCATGTGGCCTCACAGGTCCTGGCAGGAGTTTGGGTTCTGTTCTAAAAGCAATTGCCAACCTCTGAAGGATGCAAGCCAGGAGTCACATGATTTGGGGTTAATTCATAGCAACTCACTCTATCCATGGTAATTGCCCTAAAGAGGGTCCTGAGTTAAGGTCCCAGAGGTCAGCCAATTAGATAACATTGCCTTCAGGGCTGGGACTTAGGGAATGGCCAAGTGCTGAGAGAATTTGAAGGCAGGGAAGAGGCGTAGTATTATGCGTGCTTGCACCCAGATGGAGGTGGCCTCCCAGACTGGCCAGGAAGAAAAGCCCAGAGTGGGGACAGAGTCTGGGAAGTCAGGGAGAGGCAACCCCACAGACCACAGGGCCACTCCCGCGGGACTTCAACGGTCCGTGACTTGAGGCACCACAGAGCAAGTTCAGCTTTAGAGCTGGTGGTTGAGACCAGACAGGCACCGGGCCTCGCTGGCTGGAGCCGACCATGAATCCAGGGGCCTCCAGGGCCCAGCCATGTGGCGGAACTCCCACGGGAAGAACACACTCTGATCCTTTTCAAAGGACCCCAGCCTACCAGTGGACCACCTGTCCCATCCCATCCCTGACCCCCGCTTCAGGCCATCTCCCCTGACTGGAGGGCTGGCAGGGACAGGGAGGGGAGTGAGTTGGGAAGCCAGGGGTTCCGCTGGTTGGCGTGCAGCTCCTGCCTGCAGCCCCAGGGTCTCAGGGCCAGGCCGCCTGGTGGGGACCCGAGGTGTCCGGTGGACTCGGGGTGCCCCTTGCCGCTCCCAGGGTGCTGGGGGAGACCCTACCCGGAATGACTGCACTTGTGGGGGTGCAACCTGCCCAAGAGAGGGCCTGGACGACCCATCCCTGTGCCTCCTGCCTGGCTCTCCTTCCGACTGCGGCTGGGCCGGGGATTGGGGGATTGCCAAGTGTAATTGTTACCCGAACATAGGTGACCACACAGCATAATCATCTCAAGTGTGATAAATGCTTATTTGACATGTACTTGATGTATCGGAAATCCACCATCTAACCAGGTAGACGGGCATGGACTTTAAGGGGCTTGTTAAACCATCCCTTTATTAGGAGTCTGGGGCAGTGCCTTACAGTAAGTTTGGGGCAGGTGGGATTGCCAAGGGCGAGGAAGAAGGGCAAGGGGGAGGGTCCCAGGGGCAGGGACTCACCTGGATACCCTTTCCAGGCTGATTGATGTCAGGCATGAGTTTGAGTCGACTCTGACGATCTAGACACTGACTTCCTGGAAACTCCCCAGGTCCACATACCTGCTGGGAAGCCTTTTCCTCCCTTTCTGGGTCCATGGGGCTCTGCCAGGGTCCCTCTTCCATGTTCATTTGAGAGTCTGACCATGCTGGAGGGGAGCTTCTGGTCCAGATGCCAGGCCTGCAAATGGTGCTAGATTCTCCTCACAGGAGTGAGATCAGTGTTTTGATGAAGTCTGAGGCTGTGGGCCAACCTTCAAATTAGGCAGAACACACCACTGCTACAGTATGTCATCTGACAGCTTGAAGGAGGGCTGTCCCGCAGACCTGAGAGCCACCACTTTGACAACCCCTTGCTCTCCCTGTAATTCCCTGTTCTATCTCAAGGATTAAATGTATGAGTGGCATAGGTTTGTAAGATTAGGAAGAAAGGCTGGCGCCTCCTAGTTCTAAGTTGGCTGCCGGGAGAGGGTCGCAGAACCATCCTCTAATAACAAGCAGGAATTAGAGTGGCAAATAGGATTTCATGGGGTTGTTCAGAGATGAGCTTTCTTTGATGGTGTAAACAGGGAGGAAAGGGAAACTAATCCCCTAAAGAGGGTTAATGGTATCAATGCATTTGATGTCTGTGACATCAGACTTGTCACAGACAATTAAGCGTTGGAGACCCTACACATTCACAATGTGTTGCTGGGAGCTTTTCTATATTCCCGTCTATCTCTGAGTTGTCGCTCAGGAGCAGAAAAGCTCAAACTTCTTAGCGTTATGGTCTCTTTACACTCTTAAAAATCATTGAGGATCCCTATAAGTCTTATTTCTTTAGGTTATTATGTGAATAATTTTTAAAAACTTCATTTGTCAATTCATTTTAAAGCAATGATGACCCCATTTCATGTTAACTGACATTTTTATGAAATATATCTATATTTCCCAAAATTAAAAAAATTAGTGAAAAAGCAACATTATCTTATTTTTTTTGCAAATCTTTCTAGCACTTGATTTTAAAAAATGGCAACTGGATTCTCACATCTGCTTCAGAATTTAAGAAACTCTACACTCCACTCAGAAGAAAAGAGCAAAGAACATTAGTGTATTACAAACATGGTTTTGACCTTATGGACACTCTGCAAGGACCTCAGACACCCTCGGGGGTGCCAGTCCATGCTGTGTGGACGGCATTCCTGGTCAAGGAAAGCCAAGCCCCAAAGCAGGTAGGGTGAGCTGGAAGGAGGTGACATGTGGGCTGGCATCGCCAATGGCATGTTCTGGCTCCACACTTTACACCACGTTGGTCCACAGACACCCCTATGCCGCAAGCTGCAGCTGGTGGTTCCAGGTAAGAATCCTGTGGTTATTTTAGAATTCACCCAGTTTGAAATGCACTACGTTTTTTAGTTGGAGGTGTTTTTTTTTTATAATAGGAAAACATTGTAAACCTAAATGTACAGTAATAGTAGTAATTAAATAAATTATTGCTTCTGAAACCGAATAGTCCGCAGCCATCAAAACAGAAAGTGAAAGGGAGAAATGTGCTCAGTATATCCTCAGGGTTTATTAAGCAGAAAACAAAGCGTAGAACAATGTGTATATTGTGATCCTTTTAGAATGTTTTGAAAGAGTATTACACGTGTCTAACTGGGAAAAGACAAAAGAAATGGCTTATAATAATTGGTTATCTTTGGAAAGACATGGGAATTTAAGAAATTCTTAAACCTTCCAGCAGTGAGTAACATATTGTATATGATTGTAACATACTGTATATGATTCCAAACTGATACTTAAGGACAACTGTGCTTGTCCTTAAAGGGAGGCACGAAGGGTTTCGCAGGGGTGGGACCTCCTGCATTTCCACCCTGTGTGCACCTGCGGGGTGAGGCCGCTGGGCGCCGCTTTCCGCAGGTGCCCGGGAGCCCGCCAGGCCGCTAGGAACCGGTCCTCCTTGCTAGCCCCGCCCTCGCCCCTCCCTATTGGGCTGCCGCAGCGCCACCGCGTCCAATCGCAGCGCTAAGCGCCAAATTTGAATTGCTGTTTTCATTTGAATCAGGAGGCGCGGCGGGCAGCTTTCCGCGCCGGAGCGTCCTACGCTGGGGAGGTCGGGGACGTAGCTGGGCCGGGCCACCCGCTCACTGGCGAGGGCGACAGCGGGGGGAGCGGGTTCCGCGGCCGGGAGGAGTGGGCTCGGGCCAGCGGGCGGAGCCCCTGTCCCTGGCGCGCGGGCGGGCAGGGGGCGCGGCGGGCGCGTTGCCAGCTCCTCCGGAGCAGACTCGGGCGCCTCGACAAGCAGTGGAGCCACCGGTGGCGTGCAGGCGACTCGTCCTGGGTGAGCGGCGGCCGGAGCACCTCGGGGCTAGGGCTGCGGAGACCCCTCCCGGCCTCGAGGGGACTTGCGGGGGAAGCGGGGTCCGGGCCTGGCTCATCCAGGGCCTGAGCTCGTGGTCTCCGTAGGAACTCCCGGGAGACGTGACCTGGTGCGCGCGTCTGGCCGCAGGTCTTCGGGGGCGCAGAGTTTGTGAGCAGCCCGGGGCGAGGGGCGGCCGGCGGCAGGGCATGGTGAATTAAGTCCACGTCGGTCACTTACAAGTGAGTTCTTAGCTCTTTGCTTTCAGTGACAACCCTTATCCGCATTTTGTTTCTGTTCTATTCAGCGGTGCTCCTGAATTAGAAGAGCTGCTTTGAAGTCAGCTTCAGCAGACCCTTTGATGCCGAGCCTTCCTATACGGATTTGCTCCACATCTTGTTTAGAAAATGGGCCCTCCAGCACACCTCGTCACCATCAGAAGGAGCGGGGTCGACGGCCACCACTTTCCTCTGAGCCTTAGCACCTGCTTGTTTGGAAGGTGAGCCCTGCGCGGGCAGACTGTCCAGTTTAAAAGATCTCATATTCCTGATCACAAGCTAACCCACGGGAAACGGGGCCCCGGGAATAGTCCCTGCCCTCAAACTGCTCCCGATGTCATCCCTGTGTATTGTCAACTTGACATGCTATTTATTAGGAACAAAATTTTGAAAACAATATTATTATAGCTATTAAGTGTGAAGTGTTTTGTTAGTCAGACATTTCTAAATTGACTTGATAACAATCTTTAAATGGAAAAAAAATGTCGATGACTCTAAAGTCCTGATTCACTTCAAGCAGTCTTTTAAAGACCACTGTGTTCACCTGAAAACCGTTCACGCCTGGCATTCCTTGGTTGGGGGCCTGGCTGGGGGGGACGCTACAGAGCAAATGCAGGTGGCTTTGGATATGGCTTGTTGGTCTTAGGAGGGAAAGCCCTCCTGCCAGTGTGCTGAGTGCTTCTCGCTTGTGGGCTTCCTGTGTTTCCTGTGTTGGTGTTGGTGGGAACTGTGGTCCCTGTATAACAGACAGAATTTTTCATCACTGGCCTCTGTTTTCTAACGTGACTTTTTAGACAAACAGCAGGTCACCTCTCTGTGAGCCCCATGTGGTGGGTGGGACTCCAGTCCTTTCCACCCACACCCCGTCCTACGGACCCATCCCTACCATGTCCCAACCCACTGCAGACATTTTGAGCTCTTGCTCAGCTTGGTGCTTTTGGCCAGTTTGAGCTTTATGACTGGAATGTTCTCTCTGTCCTATGTAAGTGATGCCTTTCCAACTCTCAGATGTCAGTGTAAACGTGACCTGGAAAGAAGCCTCTAATGAATGCTAGCTATTCTTGTCTCCTAACACCACACCTGGTTTGTCTGTCCCCCTGCTAAACTCTCCAAGGACAGGCATTGCCAAGTTAATAATTATGTATTCAGTGCCTGGTAAGGTCTGGCAAATAAGAGGTGGTCAATATTTAGCACTCTGGTAAGTGGCCAGTAGAAACATGGGCTGAATTTGGAATCATAGATAGTGGTTCTCAGCCCAGGGCCAATGTGCCCACCAGGAGACATTTCTCTGTGTTACAGTTTGGGAGGCTCATGTCGCGGGCATCGGTTAGCAGAGGCCCAGGGATGCTGCTAACGTCCTGCTATGTACAGGTCAGCCCCCCACTGTAAAGAATGATGTGGCCTAAAACTTGAGCTGAGCTCGAGAGCCGCTCGTCTACAGTGATTCTACTTGGCAGTTTCCTGCCAAACAAATTCTCAGTTCTAATGAGAGACTCTCACTCTATTTTGTTGAAACATTCTGATACTTAAAAAGCAAGTTCTCCTCTTCGGTGTAAAGTCACTTGTTCAGTTTCCACAGCTTCTTTTCTCTTCAAAGAAAAAATAAACACATCTTTCAGTATCAAATGGCAGTTTTTTATGCAAGATTTTATAACTTAGAAACCCATTCGTCATTATTTGGCCATATGATATGGTAGGAAGACATATTCTTGGACTCCAGAGGTTCGCGCTGAGAGCAGAGACGAGGGTATATGGAACACCAGACAGCCAGGGAGACTCAGTAAGGACCTCTTTGATTAGCTTCTTTGTTGCTTTGGGAAAATTCTCTTTTGCTGTTTCCTGCTGGTGTTCTTTGTGTGGGAAGAGTTGACTCTAATAGGGCTCTTTGTTGATTGCAGGTGAGTACTTTTAATGATGGGAGACTTGTGAATCTGTTAGCTAAGGCAGTGTGGTTTTAAAACAACAAAAGCTCACAAGTAATGAGAATTTCTGCATGCAAATGGCAGACACGTATAACCCATTTATTTGAACAACAGGGTAGGGGTGCTGATGGAATTCTCTTTATATATGAAGAAACAGGCACAGAGAGGTGCTAGCATAAAATACAGCAATTTTGGTAATGATGGAACCTTTGAAAGTACATAGCATTACAAAATAAACATACATAAACCTTTTTTTTTTAGGAAAAGCAGCACAGAGTATTAAAAATAATTGTTATTCCCCACACTAATATAAAGTACTGTTTCATTTGGGTCTTATAAGCGTAGCTATTTTAGTAAAAGATAGTTCAGTTTTATATTCTAATGTTTTCTATTGTAACTATCCCTAAAATGGCTGACCCTTGCACACAGCCAGGGTTGGGGATGCTGAGCCCACGCAGTTCAAAGTCCACATATAAATTTTGGCTCCCTCAAAACTTAATTGATAGCCTACTGTCGACTGAAAGACTTACTGATAAGATACACAGTTGATTAATACATTTTGTATGTTTATGTATTATATACTGTATTCTTAGAATAAAGTAAGCTAAAGAAAAAAGGTTTTTTTCAAATTGTTGCAAATCCCCTGCAAATTTTCCAGTATATTTACTGAAAAAAAATCTGTGCATAAATGGACCTATGCACTTCAAACACATGTTGTTCAAGGATAGACTGTACTGTAAATTTTCAGGACTTAAGATAGTTACTTACACAATACTTATAAAAATTGTTCTCAAAATGCAAGGATTATTTACATTGCCCAGTTTATTATTTTTTATGTCATTCCATTTACAAATCAAAATACATGATCAAATACTGTTTAATTTTGAAAGTTTGGTGTAATTTTTAAAGAAAATTTCAGCAACCTAAGAAATCTGAATTCTTTTCAATTAAGGGGTATCGAATGTGACATCCGTATCCAACTTCCTGTAGTGTCAAAACAGCATTGTAAAATTGAAATCCATGGACTGGAGGTAAGTGAGTTTTTGGAAGTCTATTTTAAAACTGTTCATTTCACTTTTTATATGTTCATTTGTTACGTATTCTTCTCCTTTCTTATACTTATAGGCAATATTGTTTAACTTAAGCTCCACAAATCCAACACAAGTAAATGGATCTGCTATTGATAAACCTGTACAACTAAAACATGGAGATGTGATCACCATTGTCGATCGGTCTTTCAGGTAAAAACAAATTGGTCTGAGAATTAACGGACCTTCTGATGCCTAGGAAACTAGCCTCATAGATCTCTGTGGACCTTAACGCTGGTGAACGTCAAAGTGTTTGTGGGTGTCCTTCTCGACACTAACGTTTCATCTAAAATCTGTGGATCTGGAAGGAATAACAGTGGGGCTGATGTGTTCCAGTTCAAGGGGCTGAGTGCGTGTAAATGTGCCAAAGAACTGTGACCAGATCCTAACGGGATTTAGTTTTTTTGTGCATGTCGTGATGCTGCATACAGTTTTAGTTCTTTTAGAGTATAATGCACTCATAGAGAAAGATACAAAACGAGACGCAGAGCTCAACTTACCATGACGTAGATGCCTTTGTTATCATCACCTATTACGGACTGAATGAGCTCGTCCGATGTCATGTAGAAGCCCTAAGCCGCGGTGCCCCAGAATAGGACTGCGTGTGGAGACGCGGCCTTTAAGGAGAGGATTAAATCAAAGTGAGGTCTTTAGGGTGGGTCCTAATCCAATCCGGTGTCCTTATAAGAAGGGATTAGGACACAGAGAAGCCAGGGGAGCAGGTGCTTGGAGGGCTGGCCACCTGAAGAGCAGCAGAGAGGCCCAGAGGAGCCCAACCGTGCCGACATCTTGATCTTGGACGTCAGTCTCCAGAACTGTGAGAAAATAACTTTGTTGTTGCTGAAGCCACCCACTGTGTGGCACTTTGTTTTGGCAACCCTAGCAAACTAATGCACTACCCAAGCCATAAACATTTCCAGAAGCTTCTTTCATGCCTCTTCTAATCACTTCCTCCCCTCACCAAGTAAACCATTAGTGTGGCTTTTCTGATAGTGTAAAAGTCTTTGGAGTTTTGCTTACCTAAGCATGCATCTCTAACCACTGTGGTTTTGTCTGTCTTCATTAAATCCATAAATTGGAAATAATGAAGTATGTGTTAGTAACTGACTTTTCTGCTCTTACAGTTGTGAGATTTATAGCATAGATGTCCCACTCTGTTCCTTCTTGCTGCATAAGTTTCATTCAGATAATATACACAATTATATACCCAGTTATGTAGAATTTATTCATTCTGGATGGACAATGAGTAATTTCCAGCTTTTGGAAGGGGTCAGTGCCTGCTTTATGATCAGATATGGCTAAATTTTATTAGTTAGTCCTGGTTTGAAAAGTGTTTGAATAGAATGTGTTCTACAGCTACTGGGTGCAGTGCTCCATCTAGAAAGGTCCATTAGTTTCAAATTCCTAACTTTTAGAATCACAGTCCTTTTCCCCGATTCTTGGTTGCTCAGGTAGGTAAGTTGAAGTTGCCTATTGAGGAATTTTTTTTCTTTTCGTTGCCTAGCTCTGTCAGTTTTTGCTTTCTGTATTTTCGAGCTATACTGTGTGTTTCAGTTTAGAGTTACCTCCTTCAGTTAGATGAGGTGCTGTCATTTATCATTTGGAAATGCCCTGTACCTTAGTAATCTTCTCTGGTGATTGCTTACTGTCATTGGTTTCTATCCCATTACTTTCAACTTTTCTGACTCCTTAAGGTTTAGATTATCTCTTGGAACCAACTGTTTCACACTGTGCTGTTTTGTTTGTAAGTGATTTCTCTGCTGGCTGAATTGGCCCTTTTATCATTACAGAGTGTGCTTGGCCTCTGTGAACAATTTTTGTCTTAAGGTCTATTTTGTTGGCCGTTAGTGTAGCGCTCCAGCTCTTTCCTGTTGCTGTTTGCATGGTTTATTTTCTCCCATCCTTATACTTTGTATCATATTTGTGTCTCTGAATTTAAATTGTGTCTCTTACAGACAATATATAGTTGAATTATTTTTTTCACCCATCCTGCTAAATGCAACGCTACTTTCATTACTGTCTTCATTTGTATTAAGTAGATATTTCCTAAAGTCCCATTTAAATATCCTGGTCATTTCTTTTACTGTGCTTTCTGTGAATTTGACTTCATTTTTAGAGGGTATTTTTATGGAATAGAGACTTTCAAGCAGGAAGTTGATGTGGAATGTGATGTGAACTTGATGTGGAATGGAGACTGGGACAATTTCTGCAAACTGAGATTCTGTTCAGATCAAGAACAGAGAAGACTAAGACCTCCAACACAGAGTAGGAAATGGAGCTTAAGAAGAGGGACTTGATCCAGAGCTCTGCTACCATGTGAAGTCATTCCAGGTGCCAGGCTGCTTCAGCTCTTAGGTGGCATCTAAACTCAAATCAGACCACCTTACTGTGGTACCCAAGTTCAGCATGCAGGATAAAAGCTGTTCTGTGAAGTGATACCTGAGGTCTGTTAGAACGACTTTGTATCTTACTAAATACACATACACACTTCTGACAGGTGCCTGTCCCTGTGCGGATATAGAGGCAATAAGCGGGAAGCTAAGGCGAGCAGAGCGATCTGCGGTTGAACTCTGTAGGTGCCCTGCCATAAGTGACATCACAGAGTGATGGAGGCTTCGGATGCCACTGGGCCTCCTGCTTGACCTTCCCTGCCATCAGATGATTTCCTTGAATGTAAACTAGCAGAGACCCAGTTTTGCTCTCGTATGTGATGACTTTGCACATACGAGGTACTCAGGGACACTGTTGAATCATATTCTCTGGTCAGGGTTCAGAAATAAATCTGGGTCCCCAACCTCTGCCAACAACCTTCCAGAAGAAACTTAGGCAATTTATCTAAGTTTTTAGTGTAAAAACACTTTCCTAACTCTAAATATGTGTCCATGAATAAGGTAATACCTTGAACAAGATGTGAATTTGTTCCCTGCTTGTTGGACACTAATCAGATCTGGAAGCTTTAGCATCTGTTCCAGATCTTTAATCTGAATATGTGTCTCTCATTCTCTGCACTTTAGGTATGAAAATGAAAGTCATCAGAATGGAAGCAAGTCAAGTGAATTTTCAGGACAAAGACACAAACAGGTGAGGGGGGATGGTGCCAGCTTTGTGCTCTATTCTTCTGGGTGTTGATACGAAGTCATTTAGAGACAATTTGATGAATGGTTTCTCGTGAGGGGGGACGGCTTTGTGGTTATAGCAGGGAAAAGTAACTAAGATATTAAAGCAACTTGACTTAAACATATTAGGATAATTTAAAACCAGACTCCCTCTATTACTCACAATGAAGGTACTAAGTAGGTCTTACACTTTTGGCCCAAAAGGCTCCAAGACTGTCTCACGGTCTGGCCTTCTTGCAAGCCTTTGGGCAGGACAGCCCCAGCGCAGACCTGAAATTCAGGAGCTGCGTGGCCCAGTGGCCTGCCACGGCTCCCTGTCAGTGTGCTCGTCCCCCTTAATTTGTCTGAAATAATCACGTCGGCGTCGTGAGCACCAGAGGTGCTTCAGTTCTGACAGGGTGTCCTGTGCCGCCGGAGGAGAGGGACTGCCGGCCTCAAAGGAGAGAATCCAGTTACTTGTGTTTATCCGCGCCCAAAATGGATTCCAAGCCGAAATGCATTCTGGGCCCATCCTTGGAGATTTTGTAGGACTTACAAGGGTTAAGGTAAATGCTGAGAATTTCTGTCTTATTGTTTACGAAGCTGCCCAAGCCAGTCTCCTATAACCAGGTGGCAATTCACTGGCTCAGGAGGCTTGTCATAGGTGCCCCTGAAGTCAGCCACAGGCACTTTGACCTCAGGAGCTCTGCTCCTTCCTTGGGCGAGTGACATAATGTGGAGCCTGCTGCTCATCAGTGCTGGGGGAAAGCTAGCTTTTGAGGCATTATGCCCACTTCATTAGTGGGTGTAAGGAAACCAGCCAAAAAATTTTGAATTTATATGTTAGATAAGTGGTCTCAGTGGTCTGTGAACTGTTGTCATCTGGGCTGCGATGAAGTATTGAAAATGAATACTTAGAACAAGTCATAGTGGTCAGACAGCGATCTTCATGGCTGTTGAATAAGTACACTTGAACAGTCCTCTATTTTGTACATATTTTTAATTTTAATTCATTTTTATTGTTTAGTCGTAAGATTCTTGGTCAACATCAAATTAGAAATGAGAAACTGATCCCTCACATGGGAAGTTGAAAAAGCAATGTTAGATGCCAAGAAATGTGAAATTGGTAAAAGAAATAAGGTGACTTACTTTTGGATATATTTTGTGCTCCTCCCCACCAATAATTCATTGTTTTCCCCAAATAACATATCAGTTTCTGCAAGGATAAACAAATAATTGGATTCTCTCCCATTAGGATGTATATTTCCTCTTTTGAAACAATCTTGAGCTCTTATATCTGATGGGTGTGTTACCCTGTTTCTCACCCCCTAAAACATTCCCTGTGAGAGGTTGTGTGCACTGTTCACGGGGCCAAGTGGCAGTATGGGCTCTGATTCATCTGCTCTGAGGCTGCAGATGGGTGTGAATTGCTTTTGCCTTAACATGTGGGCCCCAGATGCACCCTGAGCATCTGCCCTCCCAGAGCACATGTGCTAGGTGGGCCTCACTTTACACTGGCCTGTAGCTGATTTCTGATGAGACTGAGTATAAAGTGAATAATTCCGTGCCTTTGGCAAGCTCGCAGACCCCGGGTGTAGGTGACGGCTACTTTCAGCTTTTGCTTTTCTTTCCTATCATGAGAAAGACGGAGGTTATAACAACTCTCTGAGGTTCAATTTTAACAATTCTTTAAACTTTTAAGTTTGTGTCTTGTCTTATCACTATATATTTTTAAAGGAGCTAAGACATCCTCATTTTGTGAGCACTAATACCCGAATGTCTTAAGCTCATTCACACTCTGAAATTCCTATAAGGACAGTTTGATGACGATCATTGGTAGCAGGAATACTTTCCTAAATATGACTTTGAAAAGGCCCCTGAAGTGCAGTTTTTCTTTTGCCAATTCACAGGAACCAAGGCATGAGGACTCAAGATCCAGCTTCTCTTCTGACGCTGGTTAGTGGTTTCGGGTTCTGTTTGGGATCTGGCAAGATCAGTTCTCTGTGTGGCCTTATGCCGAGGAAGACACAGTGGTGTTCCACACCTGGGCTCTCAGAAGCTATGAGGTTGTTATTTAACATGACACACACAGGCGTACACCTGAGTTAACTGCTTTCCCAAGTGAGGTACAGGGCACCCCATGCTCTTTGGAGAGTCCACACCTAAATACATAGTCTCATTCATTTGTGGGCTTAATTCTGAGCAGATTAAATAGCATTTGATGTCTCCCATGGGCTTTAGGAGGCTGATGTGATTTATTTTTTTGGATCATAATACTGAGTATCAGAATAATGTTGTTATATATTTGGGGTATTAAGTAATTTGTAAGCTAAGTGAAAAACTAGGTTATAAGACAATTTGCAACAGTTTTGAAATTTGTATACTGCAAATTTCCTTGAGAAAATCTTGAACTTCTGTTTCTTATTTCATAACTCATTGCCAAGAGGGGAAAGTTCAAGATTCCAATGCCCATTCAAAACTCACTGAAGCGAACATCTCAGGAAGGCCTCTGGTCCATGCCAAGAATGTCAGAGCAGCCGGGACTGACTCAGGTGGCCCAGAAGATCTTGCTGCAGGGAAAACACTTAATGCTGTTCATTCATCCAAACTTCCTGGAGGTAATCACAGACATAGAATGGACCCCATTGCTGGGGATTTTGAAGAAGATTCCAGTGTAGCATTAGTGAACTGTGATGGAGCACTGAAGTCTTTTCCCTGTACACAGTGTCTTGAGAATAGTGAAAAAAATAAATCTCCCTTTAGGAAGCTTTATGAGTCATTGAAGGAAGAGTTGGATGTGAAATTAGAAAAAGAGAATGTTCAACAGAATCGTAGGAGGTCAGGATCAAAGAGTCGTCACACAGCCGAGCAAGAAAATGCTGGTGGTTTACAGGGTGAGACACAGCTACCGGTCTCACTTAAATCCAGACGGAGATCTAGTCGAAGCATCCAAGTTAAGGCAGACCCTGCTTCGGGAGAAGGAAGTAGCTGGGCTGAGGGAGACAGCAGAGAGGAGAAGCCTTCTCAGAGGCCCAGGTTGATTGGGAGCCCTGGCACTTCCCTCGCCAAGACGCCGAAACCTAACAGCCCAGTTCAGCTTTCACAGCAGAATTCCTCACGAAAACGTCGGCGGGAAGACCTCAGTGCCGTCAGCAGAAGGGCCTCTGTGAGTCCCGACCAAAGCGGAGGCTCCAGGGCAGATAATAAAATATTTACTCCTACAAAATTCTTAACTAGAAACCAAACACCCACTAAAACTGAAAAGACTGATAATTTTGGAAATACACCAGAAAAACTCTTTTCCGAAAGGAAGCAGAGTATTTCTACCAATGTTGGCATTCTTACTACAGAAATGGACATTCAGAGTCAAACGATTTTAGCTCCACTGGTCGTTCAGGTTGAAAAGAAGATTGAAGATGATGATTCTGCCGCTCAGCCTGAGAGGCCGGGGCCCCCAGCTGGACGGCTGTGCGCTGCATCACCCGGCCTTAGTTCTGCTGATGTCGGCAACTTTGGTGATGCCAGTAGTAAGTTTATTTAACTTTACCTTATCCTCCCCCCAAAGTTCCCATTTACCTTGTCTCTAGATATGAATTAATGAGACTTTCCTTTATCAGTAATGACTTGCTCTGCGGTAGAGAATCTGTCAGGCTCTAAGGGTGCAATAAATAATGAGGCAGTTACACTGTGACCTCGTGTGGCTTCATATTGAAGAGAATCTCAGCGAGGAGAGACAGGCAGTGCAGGGTGTTAGGGGACCTAATGAGATGGGTGGTCCAACATCTGGTTCTCCTAGTACATCTACAACAAAATAGAATGAACATAAGGTTTCATTCTGAACTGTAAGCACCTGTACCCTGTGAGTCTGGATCCTGCAGGTTAAGTGCAAATCCCCTGGACATTGTCTAGCACAGCGTGGCCTCCAGATGTTAATCCTCTGTGATCAGGTCTCCTGCAAACAGTTTCTTACAAAACACTGAACTGTACCCATGGGTTTATGTGCCAGGCCACGTTCAACATCATAGACAACGCACATCGCAGGCCGTAGGAGAGCCTGTGGGAAGAGTATGCCTGTTATGTCCCTTTTGCAAGTGGAGAAACTGACAACCTAATGTCATACCGCAAGTGGCAGACACAGGGCCTCCGGTCGGCGTGAAGGTCCTGGCCATCCTCTGACCCTTTTCAGGGTCTCTGGGCTCTGATTGGGGCCCCTATGTGGAGGCACCGGCTCTCTAAGATCACACCTGCGTACATCAGCCACACATCCCCATGGGTGTCATAAGGGGGGGACACACCATTTAACAAAGGATTTATGTTGGCCGGTGGTTCATCAGGATGCGTAGCGGGACTGGGGCTCACTAAGTTTCCGAGTTGGTGAGCCCTGCTCCCTAGGCTGGGTGAGGCCCAGAGCCGCTGACTCAGGCCAGTCCCTGTATTAAGCTATGTCCACAGAGAAGTTTTCAACATTTTAAGAAAATCTTTCTTCTGCCAAGTAGGGACTTGATGTTCTGACGAGAGGTTTACCCCGGATCTTTCACGAGCTCTTGACAGAGCTTCACCTTCCTCAACATTCCGAGGCAGTGAGGCTGAGCTGTGAGGGTCCGTTTCAGTGAATTTTACAATTGGCTTGTCTTCAACAGCGATTTGCAAGAAGTCACTAGTATCGGTGTGGTCGTTCATTCCTCTGCCTGTTCGTATTCATCACTTTAGGTAAGATTGAGGGGATGGCCCTGAAGAGAAGGCGGGTCTCCTTCGGCGGTCATCTGAGGCCTGAACTATTTGATGAAAACTTACCTCCGAATACACCTCTCAAAAGAGGAGAAACACCAAAGAAAAGAAAGTCTCTGGTAACCCTCACCCCACCGGTCCTGAAGAAAATCATCAAGGTATGTCCAACAGACAGGGTTCTTACTCCTATCCGCCAACTCAGATTCTTGGTACATTGTTCTTTCCAATAAAAAAGTGAAAGCTAAGAAAAGTGTACACGCTAGCTCATTCCCTTGGGTGTTGGAAAGCAACCACCTGGGTTCTGTAGTGGCCCAGCGCAGGTGAGGTCTCAGGACTCAGCCTTTTCCTGCAGAGGCCTCCTGCTGACCACACTTAGGGCTCAGTGATCACGTGGAGGTTCCAGTAAAATCTGTAAATTTCTATTTAAAAATTTTAGCTACTACCAATTCAACATTCAATTTCAATTCCGCTCAATCTCAATTCAAAAGCAAAAATTTTAGTCACTGACCATTGAAAAGAATCTGGAGATATTACAACACATACCCATACGGTTTTTATTTTTGTTTTTCTCTTAGAATTATAAGGGAAAATGGAAACTCCTGAATGGCAACTCATGTATGATTTTCACCATCAGCTCCTTAGAACTTGCATTCACCTGCCCTAGGCTCCGATGTCCTGGTTTTAGATCTCTGGAAAGGTGCGGCCCCGTAGAGCACCTTCCTCAGAGGGCCTGGGCAGTCTGGAATCTCTTGTCATCCCAAACGGCATGTGAGGCATATCTGCGCTCCCTCCTGGGTTATACTGGCTCCCAGAAGGGAGCTGCCCTCCTTCCATGTAGACCAGACAGAGAGTCCCACAGGTGGTGTTTCCTTGTATTCAAACCAGAGCATTTGCCTCACTCAGAAGGCTCCTTCCATCTTTCCACCTGAAATTCCCCAATTAACACTGGTTGGCTGCCTTGTCTCCCTTTCTTTTTCCTCAAACGAGGGGACAGACTTCCATCTCTACCTTACCCTTGACAGACAGCGGTGGAAGCTTTTGGTACTTTAAGACTTAAATAGTTGAAATTCTTTACTGGGTAGGGTTTTCACTTTCACTACATAGATGTCATCTTTCTGTTAAGTTTCCTTACGAGCATTTAAATCTTGTCAGGAACAGCCTCAACCCTCAGGAAAAGAGGGTTCCTCAGAAAGCCCTGTGGAAGTGACCGCACAGAAGGCATTTATGAGCTCTCCAGCTGGGAACCCTATGGAAACGCCAGCTGCCAACGGCCAGCGCCGTAGGTCCTGCATGGCACCTTCTATCTCCACCAGCAAGTCCCCTCATCCCACAGAGGCACCTAAGAGGGGAGGGAGGAGGAGCAGCAACTTGCCTTCAAAGAGAACGTCCATCGATCGAAGCCAACGCAACATCTTACAGATGGTTTATTCCAGGAGAAGGAGCGGCGCTTCTGAAGCTAATTTGATTGGTTGGTGCTGTACTAACAAATCCACTTGAAGGTTAGTTTCCTTGTTCGTGCTACTTTTGTTAAGTTTCAACATTTTCCCTTGACAGTGGCCAAATCGTGGGCAGATGTGGTAAAACTTGGTGCCAAACAATCACAGCCTAAAGTTGGGAAGCAGGGCCCCCAGAGACAGCTGAACAAAAGGCAAAGACGAGTCAGTGCTCCAAAGGTCGGTCCGTGTTCCATCGCGATTGCTCTTTTACATGTAAAATTAGGTAAGATGACATTAAGTGTGGATTTATGCTTTGACGTTTGGTTCATCCTATTTTTTTGTTTTTTCAGAGGCCTACTGGCAGCATTCACAATCAATTTAGTACAGGTCATGCGAACTCTCCTTGCACCATAGTGATAGGGAAAGCTCACATTGAAAAAGTACACATGCCTGCTAGGCCCTACAGAATGCTGAACAACTTTGTGTTCAACAAAAAGATGGACTTCAATGAGGATCTTTCAGGTAAAAACATAGCCTTGGTGCTTGTAAACCATAGCCCCTCCCACCCTCCCCATGTGAGGGTGTGAATGGGCGCTGCGTTTGTGCATCTGCCCTGAGTCACCTTCTATCAGTTTCATCCTAAAAATACTTTAGAGGATTTGTTTTCAGTGCTTCGTGGTGTACATACTGGTAACTGACACATCATGTTCGAGGAAGAGAAAGCTGGGCTGGAGAACAAAGACAGGCCCCCAGCAGTTTGGGGATCCGGAGTCCTGCATGAGCAGGTGTGAAGGACACCTGCTCACTTTTACCTTGGGGAGCAGCTTAGCTGTAGACAACTAGAGGCTGTTTACGGGGAGAAAGCTGCGGGGCTGTTATAAGTGCCCTTTCCCTGCATCTGCGCTACCAGGTTCTCCAGAGATGCAGCAAATGGTTTCAGCAATGTTTTGTTGTTTCAAGATTTCCTTTCCTTCCACGAAGCTGAACCGTTTCTGGAAACCAAGGACTGAAAAGGTTTCTGTAAGCATTAACGATTGAGCCAACGTTGCCTCTCAGTACAAGAGGGGACTTGTTTATGGTTATGCTGATGATAACCATGGCTGAACCCAGGGTTGGATTTTATGCCACGTAGTTTGGCCAGTGGTTCCCACCTGGAACGCTTCTGGAGGGAGATGAGACTTGAATCCTTTAGGGGGAACCTTTCTTTTTTCCACTCTGTTGAGAAATAATTGACATCCATCACTGTGTAAGTTAAGGTGAACAGTGTGGCAGTTTGGTTTACATATTATGTGAAATGATTGCCACAATAGGTTTAGTTAACATCCATGATCTTACAGGGATACAAGAAAAAGAAAAACCATTTTCTCCTTGTGATGAGAGCTCTTAGGATCTGCTGTCGTAGCAGCTTTCCCGTATGTATGCCATGCGGCGGTGTGAACTCTAACCATCGTGCAGGACCCTACATTCCTAGTACTTACTGGGCTTGTAACTGGAAGTTTGTACGTTGACCACCTTCTTGCAACTCCTTCTCCTCCTATTCCCCCACCTCTGGTATCTACAAATATGATCTCTTTTCTGAGTTGGGTGGTTTGTTTGTTTGTTTGTTTGTTTAGATTGCACATAAAAGTGAGAGCATACAGTACTTGTTTTTCTCTGTCAGACTTATTTCACTTAGCATCATGCCTTCAAGGTCCATCCATGGGGTCACAAGTGGCAAGATTTCATTCTTTTTTTAACAGCTGAATAATATTCCATGGTGCATACAGATACCACAGCATTTTTATCCATTCATCCCTTGATGGACACTTAGGCTGCTTCCATGTCTTGGCTGTTGTGAATAATGCTGCAGTGAACTAGGTGAAATCTTGTTTTTATTTCCCAGCAGATTTTAAAATGAGAGTTCTCCACTGTATAACCCATATAAGGGACTCTCTGAGAATCACAAATGGATCAGTACATTTAGTTTAAAAAAGAAAAAACACAAAAATATGGAAGAGTGGTAGCCAGTTGTGATAACATGTTCTACGAGGTAAAACAGTTGTGAGCATCCACCACCCAACATGCAGTTATTTCTGTATCTGTTTAGCCTTGTTGATTACATTCATGTGTGGGTTACTAGTATATACATCCTGAAGTATTGAAAACAAATCCTCAGATATGTTCTGGACATAAAACTAGTCGAAGTTAATACTCAGGAGCTGGGACAGTGGATTTTTCTCAGCTTTCCTTCAAAACACTTTCCCAGAGGGTCACAATGTCCACCCCTTGGTTTGAGTAACTTTCATGGCGAAATGTCAGTGCGTGTTGAAGACCGAGTCTTGGGTATTTTAAGTAAGGCCGGAAGGATGAGATATGGAAGGGCCAGGCTTCCCCACACAGTGTGTAAAAGGGTGTCAGACGGAGAGGGTTTGATCCATCGCGGCAGAGTGAGAAAAGTGAGAACGGGGACATGGTGAGTTTTTCAGAACAAATCTTCATTTAAAATGCCATAACGGTCTCTTTTTGTGAGAATATGTTGACACTTCTTTTTGGTGTTAAGAAGAAAAGATGGTAACATTCGTATTTGACAACACTAAAAATGGGCAACCCATGTACTTTAAAAAAAGTTGGGGGCATTTTATTTGTCCATAAAAACCAGAACTGTAGAGCCCGGGACTTCTGGAGGCAGCAGGAGGGCACTAGGGTTCCGGGTGCCTGGAGGGGAGGCACCGAGGGCCAGTCTCAGCCCCCTAGCCAGGGCTCACAGTGGGGGGGACTTTGGAAGAATAGACATCGACCTCTTCCAACTGACTTTCTTTCCAAGAAGCAGGGCAGAGGAGAGGGGAGATGATTCAGACCTCCCAGTGCCCTCTTGTAGCAAATGAGCCCAGTATCCACGCATCACCCTCTCCTATGAGATCCTCTCTCGCTTCTCCAGCAGGTCCAGGCTGTGGTCTGTGGTTCATTTTCCACATTTCCTTTGTTGTAGGTGAGGGCTGGAGTGTGAGCACATGCGGGCCGGCATGTGTGAGTGATGTGCTAACTGCTTTTCCAACATTTTCACGTAACAGGGCTAACCGACATGTTTAAGACGCCAGCGAAAGAGGAACCGCAAACTAGTGTGTGTCCCACCACGTCTTCAGATTCAGAGAATTCGCTTGGAAAGGCGTTTCAAGTCCCTGAATTGGGAGAAAAACCTCTACTGTGCACTTCAGAAAATTTGGGTTGGTTTGCTTTTATCCCCTAACTCCTTGAGTTTTAAAGAGGAACTGTAGAGTTTAAAGAACAGATACTGTATTATTTCTCTACCGTGGATATTTCTGATGAAATGCCGTTTCCAGCTTTTCTGTTCTATTGTTTTTAGGGGAAGTTGCAATCAGCCGTGGAACTAGCCTTGGTGCTCAGTGACTTACACTGAAGGAATGCCCCTTTAGTGACTGTAAATGACCCATGTTCACTTTGGCCCTCTTTATTTATTGCAAATAAAGAGGTACATGAGCAGAAAAGATGGTCTCTTATATATTTACATAGATTATTCAAATGCAGTGCTTCCTGTGTATTACTGAGCACAGGCCACACTATTGCTCTGGTGCTCAACAGAAGAAACTGTTCTTTCTCCTGTGTGACGGTAAGAACGTGTGTGTTCACGTGACTGAGACATGGCATGGCAGCCTTCAGAAATTCTTCAGGAATTCTTAGAAAAGATCGTAACCACCATTTCTGTATGATCCCACTGAATATCACCGAATAACAATATTCTTAAGTGCACAGTTCATATGTAGGACAGATGTATGGTCACCTAAGCAGCCTCATATCCTTAGTCAGTGAATAGGAGGCTGAATTATCGGCTCTTACACAGTAGTTCATGAGTATGAAATACCAAACTGGCACAGCATGGTGAACTGAACAGATTTATCATGACTGTTTATTTCTTACAGGAGAGAATATGTTCCGCAGAACTCAGAACGCACCAAAGGAGCCATCTGATGCAAGTTCTGCAAGCCCTCCCTTGAGACGACCGAGCATTAGAGTCCACGCAGATAGTGTGAGGACCCCCAGGAATGTCTGTAAAACACCAGGCGTCGAGATGAGAACCCCAAGACTGGAGGCAGCCTCTCCAAAGATGGCATCAAGTGCAAACAAGTTCAGAAGGTCTGCGCAGCTCCCCAATGCACAGGTGCCAAGGGTGGAGTGTAAGAACAGGAAAGAAGAAACAGAACCTGATATGGTGGCGAGGGCCTCAGGAAGATGTGTGAGGAAAACTCCTCTGCAAGAACAGAAGCCAGAGGGGGAGAAGAAGGAGAGAGGAAAGCCCTCTGGGACACGTAAGAGGGACATTGAATCGACAGAGAACTCTGAAAAGATGATGACTGTGAGGAGATCAAGATCTTCAGAGCGGAAATGTGAACCAACAGCAGACCTGACCGCCCTCCAGCAATTCAGAGACACAAACCCCAAGGAGGACCTGGCGGACGTCCAAAGTCCCCTGCAGACCCCAGGTCTCAGCAAGGAACCAGAGGATGCCAAGAGCACAACAAAATTGCACTGTGAATCTCCCAAACCAGAACCAATCAGCACACCAGCCAGGACAAACACACCACCCAAGACACCCCTGGGGAGAGTGGGTGCACGGGAAGGGCCCTCGGCCCTCAGGACGCCCACAAAGACACCTGGGGGAGCCACAGCCTCATACAGAGAACCGGGAGGTGATGATAAAGGCATCACATTGCTTAAGGGAACCCCAAAGCAGAAACAGGGCCCTACAGGAAATGTAACTGGGCCCAAGAGGAGGCCGAGAACTCCCAAGGCAAAGGCCCGACTCCTGGAAGACCCGGTTGGCCTCAGCGAGCTCTTCCGAACCCCAGATCATGCCAAGGATCCCGTGACTGACGAGCACACCACTAATATACCCTGCCCGTCTCCACAACCAGAGCTGGTCACCACGTGCCCCGGCCTGAGCAGAAGGCTCAGGACACCTCCCTGCAAAGTGGATGTAGAAGAGCTCTCGGTTCTCAGGAAGCCCACACAGATACCAGGGGGAACCACGTCCTCTCCCCAAAAACCAGGAGGTGGTGACCGAGCCACTGCAGTGAGTGAGGAAGCTCCAGAACCAAAACTGGATCCTGCAGAATATGTAACTGGACGTAAGAGGCGGCCGAGAACTCCCAAGGCAAAGGCCCAACTCCTGGAAGACCTGGCTGGCCTCAGCGAGCTCTTCCGAACCCCAGATCACACAGTGGAACCCGTGACTGATGACCAGACCACCAAAATGCCCTGCACATCTCCCCAGCCAGAACCAGCAATCATACCAACCAGCAAGAAGGGATGGCTCAGGACACCTCTGCAGATAGTGGATGCACATGATGACCTCTCGGCTCTCAGGACACCCACACAAACACCAGGGGAAACCACACACTTACACAGAGAAACAGGAGGCGGTGACAAAGCCATCAAAGTGCTTAAGGGAGCTCCAAAGCAGAACCTGGGCCCTGCAGAGAATGTAACTGGAACCAAAAGGCACCCGAGAACTCCCAAGGGAAAGGCCCAATTCCTAGAAGACCTGGCTGGCCTCAGCGAGCTCTTCCGAACCCCAGATCACACAGTGGGACCTGTGACTGATGACCAGACCACCAAAATGCCCTGCAAATCTCTGCAAGCAGAGCTGCTCACCACACCGACAAGCAAGAAGAAAGGGCCCCAGACACCCCTGGGGAGAGTGGGTGCGCGGGAAGGGCTCTCGGCCCTCAGGACGCCCACACAGACACCTGGCGGAGCCACAGCCTCACACAGAGAACTGGGAGGTGATGATAAAGGCGTCACATTCCTTAAGGGAACCCCAAAGCAGAAACAGGGCCCTACAAGAAATGTAACTGGACACAAGAGGAGGCCGAGAACTCCCAAGGCAAAGGCCCAACTCCTGGAAGACCTGGCTGGCCTCAGCGAGCTCTTCCGAACCCCAGATCACACAGTGGG